CAAGAAGCACAAATGCAATAACTAAGGCACCTCTGTCTCATTCCATTCTTCCACGGGCATGCAATCTAAACCTGGGGGGTACTGAATTCTTTCTTGATCTCCTTCTATTGGTCTCTGTTTGTCTGACTTCCAAAATCAAGAAAGCATACGTTATTATAAAAGGGATCCAAAAGCAGTCCAGTGTGATCTTAATTAACACGCTAACCCATTCTAAAAAATGGATGGAAAAACCGGCAGTCTTTGCCGCCTGGCTCGTCAAGGTGACGATGACACAGTTGGAGATGTCATAGAAGACGATCCAACCGAGGTAGATGAATATGCCAACCGTGTCTTCCTTGCAGACAGAAGAGATGAAGTAGATACTTAGTGGATAAGTGATCGTTGCCAGGGCAAGGGCTGCGTAATAGTAATATGGGATAACCCATCCGACGCCAATCGTTGGATCCGGCTCGACTCTCTCCAGCAGAGACATGGACCGGTTTAGGTGACCAATCTCAAAGATCATGTACAGGTTGTTCATTAAGATCATGTAGATCCCAGCCATGGTTGATCCTACTTTGGGCACCATGCCACAGAAGCCACCTCCACAGAGCAGGATCATTCGCTCTCTAAAACCAACCTGGAAGAAAAAGAACAATGAAAACAGTAGTGCAAGATACATACATACTTTTATTGTTACAGCATCAAGCCATATACATTAAAATTCTAATTAAATACAGAACTTCAAGTACTGACATATACTGCAAAAAGCCAAATCAAGTAAGCAAAAAGCAATAAATCTACAAAAATAACAATGTAAGACAATGTCTAAGTTTGGCTATCTATTCTGGCTACTAGGGCATGCCACCCAAAATTTCGCTACCAGTGCAAGATACAAAATATGTTTCAGTGCTCTTTACATTATAACTCAACTAGACGGTTAGTTTCAATGTATATCTAGAACAAGAGCTCAAATTGAACTTTGGGGTAAAAACACGAGACAATGGTGCTGATGCATATTTGAGTGCATGAAGAACCAGGAAATGGGCAATCTCTTTATTTATTTATTTAAACTATTCTTATGTCGCCTTTATCCTTCGAAAGGATCCAAGGCTTTCTCTTTGAAAGATAGTCCACTCCACCGTGGCCCCGATCTGGTTCAGATGCATTCAGGAATCAGCTCCTGTTGGCTCCTTATCCCTGAGAGACTGACTAGAAACGTGTGCAGGTAAAAGGCCACAAAACAAGCGCCTACGCAAGAGAAACTTGAATGCAGACCGTCAGGAGGAAGACTTGTATCTTACCACTGCTTGCTCCGAGGAAACCATTTCCGCCGGAAGGCTACGGCCCCGCTCCACGATTTGCAACGTGCCGCTTCTTCTCTGAAAAGTGGAGAAAGTATCTGGATGAGCGTGGCTTCTCTTCTTCGGCCCGAAGCCTTTGGCCTCAGAGCCCGAAGCTTCGCGGAGGAGCCATAGGAAGGACTCCACAGGTTCACACCAGAGCTCAAACGTGCAGTTGGTTCCAGCGCTGGCCAGGATGAAGCCTCCAGGGAATTCGCAAAGGGGGAAGAAACCGGGGCCGGGCTCCCTGCCCTCCCACACTTTTCTGATGCTTTGCAAAAAAAGAGGGATTCCAGGTGATTGATGTGGTTTCCAGGGAGGCTTCATCCTGCAAACAGCCCAGAATAGTCCACTGCAGGAAGGGGACGGTGGACAAAATAGAGAGACCGACAGACAGACAATTGGCGTTCTCGCTTTGTGACATGTCTGCCAAAGGAGCCTCCTTTCAAAGCCCGGGAGGCTCTTTCTCCAGGAGATGATGATGTTTACAACAAGGCAAAAGGTTTCAGGGCCTCATTCTGCACAGATCCAGAGAGGAAACAGGCACAACTCCACCCAAAAATGGGGCTTTGAGGGGGTGGCGGTTGTTCTCTCTCTCTCTCTCCAGTATATTTATTAAAGAAATGGGTCAAATAGCCCAAAAGAGCCAATAAAGTAATTTTCTTGTCCTAATATGGAAAAGTGTGAAAAGGGGGAGTCTTGAATCCCTTTCAAAAACAGGGAGACGCTTGTGGTGCCTCTGGTTCATTTTATATATATCTTTTATTTATTTCTCCTCCCCTCCACCTTGATGTCTCTCAGCGCAAAAAACTGAATCACGCCTGTATTCGTCTTGACATTTCTCATTTTAAATAAGAACTTTTGTCAGTTTGCTTAAAATGTGGGGGTTGGCCCTGTGAAAGCCATTTCAGTCAATCAATCAATAGATTAATCAGAGGACAGTCAATAAACAAAGAACTGTCTACTCAGATACAAGCTTGTTTGAAATAATGTTAATATTTTAAGAGGTAATAGGGATAATATATGTGAGTAGATTTGTTCCTAGATGAAAGAGAGCTGTTTGAGTATTTATTTATTATTGGCATCATCTATAAGTAAAGCCTAGAAGAGTTTTAGGTAACACTGTTAGGCAATATTGGAGAATATAAGAGTTTTGAATAAATACCCTGAAGAACAGAGAAGAGATAACAGCTCTTCTGTCGGTCTCATAAATAAGATTATTTTTAAAGGTAAAAAATAGATTGCAAATGGTTTGAGTGGAAGACCTCCAGGTTTGGGGGGGGGCAAATCCTACGCTGGGGGTCACTTAGTGTTGAAGAGATTAAACGTGAAGCCCAGTCAGGAGGGACGAATTTGGGGTTCTTGAAGGAGGAGGTCTGACCCTGTGGTCCTCCGGGGCCATCTGCAAATCCAGCCCCTCGAAGGAGGACACGGCAGGGTTAGGAGGTCAAAGAAGGGCCCAGTCCCAGGGAGACCCCGCGAGGGCTCCCCCCTCCTCAGCCCCCCCCAAGAGGTCTTCCAAAGTCGGCTTGCTGTCCTCTGGAGGAGGAGGAGGAGGAGGCGTCACTGCCCTGAGGTCCCTCCCTGTTTCCCTGCAGCTTGTAAAGCAACACACACATACATACCCTGCCCCAAGAAACACACACCCCTTCAGCAGGGCAGCCGCCCCCCCCAGGCCATCATTCTCCCAAAGGTCTCCTCGGGAGGCCTTGTTCCTGGTTGGATCTGAACACCCTGGGGGGGGGGGGCTCCGGCTGGTTCCCAGCCCCTTGCCTCCACCCCCTTGGCTCTGTCCATGGTGCTGACACTGCCCTCCGGGTTCCTCCTGACTCCTGCCCTGTTCAGATGGGGGCTGTGGCAGGCCTGGCCATCCTCTGTGATTCGCACATTTGCAAAAACGCCAGAACAGGGACCCGCAACAACCATCTTTTCACAATCTGTGGTGTGGTTACATTTGGAGTAGAGTACTGTGTCCAGTTCTGGTCTTAAAAATGATAAAAGGGTGTCAGAGGAGAAAGCAACCAAATGCATCAAAGAGTCTGTGAGTTTCTGCTTTGGAGTTTTTAAGAAAACCTAGGTTCATAGAATTGGTAAAATTTTGACCAG